TTCCCGCGGAGCAGGGAGCCCGATGTGGGGCTCGATCCCAGGACCCTGGGATCATGACCTGAGCCGAAGGCAGACACTTAACAACTGAGCCACCCAGGCGCCCCAGTTATGAGGTTTTTAATATGAAAAATACATGTCACCTATGGCCAAAATTATCTTGTCCTGTTACGATTAGAAAGGCCTTCTCTACCCAAGATTTTATAAAACATTTTTTTTAGGGGCATCTGAGTGGCTCAGTGGTTGAACGCCCGGCTCTTGGTTTCAGCTCAGGTCATGATCTCAGGGTGGTAAGCTCGAGCCCAGCATCAGGCTCTGTGCTCAGCAGGGAGTCTCCTTGGGATGCTCTCTCTCCCTCTGTCCCTACCCATGCTCACGTGCTCTCTCTCTAACTAAATAAATACATAAATAAAACATTTTCTTTACTTTGGTTAAATTACTGAAATAATACATATTTGTAATAAAACAACAAAATCTCAACACAAAAATGGGAAACAAAACCCCTTCTCTTCCCTTATCCCCCATTCTCATCTTACTCCCAGACATACACCTGATAAGTTTGTACTTCATTCCAGATCTTTTTCTCTGCATTTCAAATGTTCAGCATATGTGTGTCCATGTTTTCACAAACAGGATTATCTGACTAGTGTGTGCAATGACTTTTGGTGTGTCCACTCACTGGGCTGAACTCTCAGAATTTCTTTTCAGGTAGATTCCTTACAGGCTATGAGGAAGGAAGGAAGTGGTGGCCATTTATAGCTCACACACCCACCTAATACTTAGAAGGCACTAACCCAAATGCTGCTGTGACGTGATTTTGCAGATGTGATTAAAGCACCTAATCAAGTGACTTTAAGTCCATCAAACACAGAGTATCCTGGTGGGCCCGACGTAATCAGTTATAAGGCCTTTAAAAACGAAGGCTTCAGTAAGGCTCCAGCCTGTGGAAAAGCATCAGCTGGTGAGCTTGTCCTCCTGAGTCATTGCTCTGAGGACTTGGAGCTTGCTTCGCAGCCCCCACAATTGCTGGCTACTTCTCTTCTACTGGTTCTGCTTCTTAGATGGACCCTGAATGATCCACTATTTTCTGCAACTTGGCTTTTCCACAAGTACGTGACAGTATCATTCCGTGCAGGAAAGAGCAGAGCTACTTCGTTCCGTGTGCGATGGATGTGCGCTGGTGACCAGTCGTTGCCTGTGAGATATTGCACTCCTGCACATCCTATATGTACACAGCACTGCAGTAAGAGCCCGTTCATAAATCCTGGCTGTTGGCATTTCCCATGAGCTTATCCGTGAACCCACATATGCCATACTCACTGCAGAGTGCTCCTCTCAAACTACGATCTGACAACCAGTTCTTGGCCTGTCAGCTGTCCTCAGGCTAAGACACCAGACAGAAGAGAAAAGAGAAGTCCGGTTTTGCAGGGTGCCACATGAAAGATACCTTAGACTACCCAAAATTCTCCCCAAGTTCCTGCTTTCCCCAGGGAGCCTGAGTGGGACCCTCACCTGGGGCAGAGCCCCTGTGTTCCCTCCAGACCTGTGTCCTCCCACTGGGGCTGGACCCTTCTGAAGCTGCCTGGCGCTGTTTGCAATACTGGATCCCTGCCGGGAGCTGCAGCTCCCACGCTTAGAGAAAGGTGTCCAGGCCTAGCGGTGAGGAGCAGGCTGGTGGTGCCCATACTGCAGCACAGGTCAGGCCCGGCGCAGGTGCCTGTGTCCCTGGGGCAATTTACAGGGTCCAAGGTAAAGACGATGCAAGTGATTCTGGG